TGCCGAGCAGATTTCAGGTTATTACCGACCCGTATCGGTGTATCAACTCCTAGCCTCATTCTAGTTTTGAGTTGCGTTTGACTTTCTTCTTTCTTTGCCATATTTGAAAAAATTCTCGTCGTTAAACTCTGATTACCGTGTTTTGAAATCTCTAATTTCTTGAATGCCGCAAAGACGCGCAGAAACTATAAAGAATAATTGAAGCACAATCCAAATTTCTAGTTTTTTTCAACTCAATTGAGGGACCCAGAGTTTATACTAAGCCGCCTCCGAATGGTTGACGGATTTTTAAGAGCAGCCTTTTATTTCATGTCAGAAATACCGTCGGAGGGTTTGGCATTTCCTGCCGAAGGGTGACTGCAGTTAGAGAAAATTAATTTCGACTCGAACCCTTGCCTTCAGAATGACAGTAACCACTCGGTTATTGCGGCTGGATTTTCGGCAAGTTTTGTCTTGAATTTTGTCCTGCTAACTTAATTAAACAATCCTCTGCCTAGAAATTGTTAAGTTGACTAAAGACCATCGTGTTAGCCTATGGCGGAGTCATTGGTGACAGAAATTACACTCTGAAGAAATGTACTCACTCACCACTTCCTTGAGGCAGGTTAACCCTTAGGGCTGTGAGAAAGTCAAAGTTATCCTGAGTGCACAACAATGTGTGTTTATTATGATAAAAACCCTTGTTAAAATTTTGGCAAAAAAGGGTGGGAAAATATATGGAAGTTTCAGTGCATCTAATCCAATACTTACGCCTGACTCATTTAAATATTTAACTCATTTTCCACGTTTCCATTCAAGTATTCTCTCAAAAATTTTCCAGCCTGAACGCAGAGTTAAGAAAATCAATTAACTTTTTGACCTCATCAGAGCAACTTCTAAGTGCACTCATTTAAATGGCTACAGCACCTTAATTGATATACATATGTACATCCATAGCAATATTTGTAGACATACATACTCGTACACACATACATACATACAAAGAGTATACTGAATGTAGAAGGGTTCGCACAAAGTGCACTTAAACACAATTGCAACATTCTTCTTGATGCTCTTTCTGCTGTTGTTGTTGTTGCTGCTGCTGCTGCTGCTGTTATTGTTGCAAATATTAAAGCTAATTGAATAACTTGTTAAAGGAGGAGTGTGCTCTCCGAAGGAAAAAACCGCTATGTTGGCAATCTCAACTTGCTGCCAGACGCTAGCTGCCGGAGCCTCTGACCTTTTTAACAAATTCATTAGTACACAAAAATGGGTTGAAGCAAAAATGGGGTGTGGCGCGGGGAAAGCAAGCTGGCAGTGTGCCTTCAGAGGTCGCTCCGTAAGTAACTATGAGCGGTGTGCGATCGGGGCCGCAGGTGGGCAGGAGTGGTTGTCGGCAATAAACAGGTAGATGCCAGAACGCCGACGACGCCGCCGATGCTGGAGCTCTTGGTATTTTATTTGTGCAATTTCAAAATTTACTAAAAACACAGAATCTCGCCGCTGGAACGAAGAAGTGTGAAGAGGGGAACTGAGCCAATGCACCGAATGCAAATTAGACGTTGCTGGTGCACAAATATTTGCAAGCCGCAATTGGAGCAATAAGCTACAATAACAAAACCAAAAAATACACACCACAAAATACCTCAAATAATCAGGTCTCATATCAGCGGCAATCAAGACAAGCGCAAAGCAAAAAATAAAAAATTAAAATAAAAATAAAATAAAACTAAAAATAAGGAGACAAAAATAATTCAACCGCAACGAAGTAGGCAAACACGTTTACTTGCAACTTTTTTGCGGTTACCTGCAATTCACAAATAGTGTAACAGGGCGTGCGGGCTTGCGGGCGTGCGAGCGTGCGGGCAACATGGCGTGCCGTACAAAGGAGGTTATATAAAGCCGAATTCGAAACCTCAGGAAAATCAATTGCCAATGCGCCCAGCTCGTGTGGTCAACCGCTAGTTTGTGGCGTTGCATGCAACATATACGTATTGTGTACATATGTGTGTATGTGTGTGGGTGTGTTTGTGTTACGGCATATGGCGTTTGTTCATATGTAAACCGCAAACTGCACTTGTTTTGTGTATTATTGCACCAGCAATGACAACAACAACAACAACAATAGAAATATAGGTAGCAACCATGGCTAACCTCGCAGTTACAAATTTTTTGTTGCTGTTGTTTCACTGTATGTTTGTTTTTTATACCAGTGTTAGCTGTGGTTATACCACGATTGATCATATAACGGTTTTCTTTAAAAACATAAAGTAAACGGTACATCTATTTAGATACGGGTATATACTCAGAGATGAGTTGGCTTACATTAATTCAGTTGATCGTCTGAAGGAGTAAAAAAATGTATGCATTTGAAAGAAGATCTGATGTAAAGTTCAGTGCTGTCGCTGACTAGGACGAAGTCTGAGGAAGATCCGCTCGGTAATTTTTATTTTTATTTATTTACTTATTTTGTTTTTTTTTTTTTAAAGCTACAAATGAAAGACATATGCAAACGGAATAAGCTTTCATCATTCATTTACTCTGTTATACCCCAGCAAAGCTGATGACCTTAGATAACCCGCGATTCGGTATTACCAGTCCGAAGTCAGTCGACGTTCTCTGGCGACACAGGAGAACTGATATGGTCGTAAAATCTTTAACCTCTTGTGGGTCAAGCTGGTATTTGAGGTATCATCTAGCATTCAAGATGTCGCGGCTATTGGTTACGTATGATTTTCAAACTGGTTTGGATTCCCATATTCTCACCGACTCTTATAATTTATAGAGCATTCATACATACATATTTGCCATCTTCAGAGTTATTTTTATCGGCACCGCTTTCCCGTATACTTTGTAGAAAAGGATGTATTTCGGCCATAATAGCACATTCTTAATTCATCAACTTTTGGAACTAATCATATCGAAAGGAGGAAATTGGGCATGGCCACTTCTTATACTATAGACAAGTTCAGATACAACTAAAATTCAATTGAACCAATCACATATGTTTAGCATGGAGAATCAATAACTGTTACGGTCCTAAGAAAACAAGGCTTAGAAATATTGGCTAGAAAGTGGCGAACGTAATATAATTTATATAACCGCTAAGCAATTTTTGGCCGAGCCCTTCCTCCAAATTTTTATGTTATGTCTGGCAGTTTTCCAACAAACGGACAGACCTACTAAATCGACTTCGCACAGGCGTATGATTTTTATGACAGACTTATTTCACGTCAAAACTACACTCGCAAGGCTCGATATTCTCTGCCGTAAAGCGACCGTAGTTAGAAAAATTATTTTCAATTTTTATTTATGTTCTTACTTATTTCGATAATTTTAAGTTTTTTGCCGAGCCAAGATCTGATCCCATCATCTTCCGCATGGTAGTATGCACTGCCAGACACTCGCCTATTTCGGTGAACATAATGAATTCCGAGTTGTCGCTAGGCTTAGCTCGCCGGCTGCCAGGGTTTTTCACAGAAAACCAGAAAAATTTATGAGTATTATTGTCTAGTCTCACTGTTGTTGTTATTGTAACCGCAAAAATATTCCCCAAATTAATTTTTGTGAAATTTTGCGGGAGTGACATTCCTTGGCCGAATAAAAATCCAGGTCGTTTCGGTATAAAGAGGCGACTGTCACGGGAACTACTGAATATTAATCATCTCTTACGACAAGCATGTCTTAACGCGGGTAAATTCTTGAACCCCTAACTCACAGAGGTTAGGTGCGGTTCCCTAAAGTTAAGGGAGTAGGTCATTTGAGCTACCTTCATGAAAACGTCTTTTCCAGAGTGGGAGTAGCTCCTCGTCCTCTCTTAACACCTGCGTGTATGTAGGCGTAACGGCTGTGAGTGGTACTTCATTACTCTCAAAATGTCTAATTTGTTTCCTCTAGAAGAGGGAGGGGATCTTGGTCGCCTACTTATATCTAAGATGGGAGGAGTAGTTCAGTTTTGTAGCCGTAGAAGCTTGCTTCCGACGTATTCGAGTATGCTTTATGAAGTTACATTCGAATACAGCTCTACCTTACCTTTTATTGTAGTTGTTGTATGGGTTGTTGTTGTTGGTATTACTTTAGGGGCTATCGTCATTGCATTTACGGTACTTTTGGTTAACTGTGCGGTCTGGTGATAGTTGCTGTTTTTCTTATTGTTGTTATTGCCATTTGTTTTTCTTGCTTTCGCTGTTGTTGTTGTTGTTGTTGTATTTGTTGTTGTTGTAGTTTGAGGCTATACATCGAACAGGTATTGTTAGCATGTGAACTCACGTTTCGCTTATTAGGCCACAGGCAAGGGACAACAGTCATAAACATACACACAAATATACATAAACGCCTAGGCGCATACATAACACCATACATACACACATATATATGCACATACTCGTACGTATCTAAGCCAAGGAAAAGCTGGTGAAGGAGCACCAGTTGGTTAGATGAGCGTCTACAACTGCAGTTCGTTGACGGCGGTGCTGGCACAGTAACCGAGAATTACTCGGAACGGTTTGTTGTTGTTTTCTTTTTTTTACAATTTTTCTTCTGCAAACAATCGCTTACCTAGTTGCATGTATGCATGTACATGTATGTATTTCGGTATGTGCGAATATGTGTGTGTTACTGTTTGCCATTTCAGCTAAGTTTGGGCACCTGTGTGCCAACTCTTTCACATTCATATCCAGCTGGTTGTTGTTGCTGGTGTTGGAGTTGGTGTTTCGTTATGTTGGCTCGACAACAGGTTGGCACAATTCGCCACCAACATCATAAACAATAATTATATGTTACATATTTACGAGCATGCGCACATGCTTACATAACTAACTACGAGTGTGTCCATTTATGCACATAAAGATTTCACTTAATTTATTTTTATTTTTATATTATTATGAAGGAGTTGTTGTAGTGCCACATGTTGTTGTTTAAAAGAAGTAATTTTTTGCCTCTTAATTTTATATAAAATATTATATTTGTAATAATTCCTCACTAATTACTCCACTTAATTCGTTCGTATCTCATTTATTTAGGCCACGGATATCTCGATGCGTCGGCGTCTCTCAACACCAAAAGCTAGTCCATTGTTGCTCAAGCGTACCTCATCCGATAAGCCGAAAAAGGAGTCACCGCTTGCTAAGCCGGAAAAAGTCAGTTGGTTTAAGTCATTGGATCGTCGTTCGAAGAGTAAATCGAAGGAAAAGGTGAGTTAATCTGTCCAAAATATTTAATCGTTTAATATAAATATTTTTTATAAAATTCAATGGGAGTAAAACATAAAAGACCACTGATGTGTATGTATGTATGTACGCAATGAACTTCACTGCACATCCAAATACATCGTGTTGTAAAGGTAAACCTCAAACTTGGAACTGACATTTGAAAAGTCCAAAATTGGCCGATATTTATTATTTAACGGCCTTTCTTATTGCTCTACTGCCAAAAGATCAAAATGTGATGCAAGCTGGGAAGAAATTGTGTGAAGTTTGTGGCGAAGGCTGTCTTACTGAACGCTAATATCAGTATTGGATAGTTCTGAGAACCGAAACTAGCCAGCAGAAAAGCTTGATATACGAGGTGTGACAATTAAATGATGAGACTGATTATACGAGACTGATTGCCGAGATTGTGTCAACCCTGCGATCTTGAAATTCCCTTTGCCTTCTCCCGGCATCCTTCTCCTCTCCATTAATTTATTTGCCATCGCTCCAGCTTGTTTAGTTCGCCTGCTGTGTCGTGTTGAGTAAACGTGTGTTCGTACTGCTCGTCACGAAAATGGAAAAACGAAAACAAGAGCAATGCGTCGCGATAAAATTTTGCGCCAAATTGATCCAGTTATTACAGGAGATGAGAGCGACAAAGAATTTCTTCCACCGCGGCGAACCGTAAATCAAGTCCACTATCGCCAGGTACTCGAAATATTGCAAAAACGAGTCGACAGGGTGCGCCCAGACATAACTCGTATTCGTCCGATATGTGACCCTGTGACTTTTTTTCGTTCCCTAGAACAACATCGGTCAAAGGAACCTTTGAAGAGGATGTTGCAGAGTTGTAAAGTAATTTTGAAATATACAGTTTCTATGGGATCAGTCTCATTACTTAATTGTCACACCTCGTATTTAATTCAACCATTTAGTTGTACTAAAAACATCTCCTCACGAAAGCCTAATGTAGTCTGAAAAGCTAAATGAGCCCAAGCAATCGACCTCCAAGGACAGGAGTGGCGGGATTGAGTTGCCACCAAGAAACCAAAATGTTAATACAAAATGGACTTGATACGACAATCGCAAAGGCGTAATATTTCTTTATGACAACGTCAGGTTCCATAGCTCTTTAACAATAAGAGGACAATTAGGAGCCGCTCTCATATCCATATTATAACCGAATTTAGCTTTTAAAACGAGCTTTCGGATAGTCACATATAAAAAGTCTAACCGTATTAAACCGCCCGATCAAACACCCATATATACGACGCTGTGAATGGTCAGCTGAACTTAATATGGATGTACATAGGAATAAGGCGACAGCGATAGCCGAGGGGTAAGCTTTACGTACTACTGCTCGGAAAGCCAGGGATGGAGTCCTTGTCCGACCGATATCCATCGTAAGACTCATTTGGATTTTCAGCTACTCTTTTACTTACAGTAGCGATATCTTAGGTGAAAGGAACAAAAGTATGATTCCCCCCTCCTTATAGCATCAGTAGTCAATCCAATCTCTTACAATTTCTTAAAAATTTGACCAAATGCTTGAGTAGTTGGGCGTTTATTTGTCATACTCTCTTCCACTCCTCTAAAAGCCCGAAACATGGTCACACTTGAATCACTATTTTTATTAGAACTCACTGTAACTATGATATCTATTAGGTAAAATCAAAATTTATGTTCACGGTTCGGTCAGTAATAGAAGGTCTGGCTATGTATATGAAAGATGGACTTATTTCAGGACCCATGTCTCCCTTTAAAAGTAACATGCTACCTTGTTGGGCTGAGTTCTGTTGACTGATGCCTTATAATTTGGTATTGGTTCAAGCAGGGGTGGCGAAAGTAATAAGTCAGTTATACAATATATGTATACAAAGTCGTAATTGACATACGTTGGGTATATCGGGGTTTAGTCTGGATAGATCGGAGCTTAGTCGGCTACAACATCCAGATCTTAATTGCGTCAGTATGTATATAATCTGCTCTCGCTAGCCTGCCACGGCCGATGGATTTGGAGCCTATCGCCTTCCCGATTACCCCTTGAACATTTTCATGTCATTCCGGACAGACGGCGGATTACTAGTGGCTTCATTTTGTCAACCGCGGGAGTCCGACGATGATGGAACCCAAAATAAAATTTTCACCCGATCATTACATATTGTCAGGTATGACAAAGAATTGACTGTGTCAAAGTTTGGTGGCCACAGAGAAGAAGTTACAGGACCTAAAGTTTTCCTCCCACTTGTTCCGCTTATGAAATAACTGAAAAGGGCATCCCGCGTGACGAATGGAGTCGGACCTCGATGCTAAGACCGTCGCTTCAGTCGGAAAATTAAGGCAAATATTCATAAACCGGTCTGCCAGCATATAGCGGGCGGCAGCGGAAGGAATAGGGCGGTGACGTCAATCGCAGTAGGAAGAGCACTAGAGGCGTTGTCAATAAATTCCTTAAATTCAGCCAGTTAGCTTATTTAATGTTAACAAACGTTCGGTGGTCCACGAAAACGAAGTCGGGAGGTCTTTTAATCTAGACTATTATGGGTGAGTGGTCTGATGCTACCGCCAACTAAGCTGTTTATCAAACCAGCACTCGCAATTGTTAAGTCTAGCGAGCTTTGGTAAGCACCAGTAATTTTGAAGAGGGCGTCGTCGTTCATGGTGCAGAATGCAGAATCGTCTATCTGTTCTACCAGCTCCATCACTCTGCGGTCAAACGGTTTTCGCCTCTGAGTAGCGCACCTGTATGATAACGGTATCCAACAGGGCAACAAGTAACTGAAGGGACGTCGCCGCTGCAGTATGTTACAAACCGAGAGGGGAACTAATGGATCTGAAGGGATTATTTTTTTATACATCAAATCAACTCGTATTGTGGTAGATGTTCTCTCTTATTCAAAGGTGGAACCTAATTTCATCAATATTATCTAAAAAAAAAACTTCATTACTTTTTATCTGGATTTCCAGGCTAGCATAGACCACTTAACATGGTTTGGATGAGTTGCAATAAGCTTATCTCGTAGTTAACAGTACGTATCACCATTCAGGGGGTCAGTGTTGTAGTCTTAGTCCTATCAACACCCAAATTACAGAAAATATTTTTATCTAATTGCCCTCGCTTCTCGGCAGGGAAAAAGGGAGCTTCTCATAAAAACCCATCGCCCGATCCATTTGTTCGAAATATATCATGACGCACACCCCGAACTGGATGATTTTTGTAATCTAAATTTTCATATATATTTGAGTTTTAGTTTTAAAAAACTTAAAATTTTAAATTATATTGGAGGTTTGAGCTAAGAACTTTGAAGGCTGTCTTTGGTGCAGCAGCCAAATAAAGCTTACCAGCCATTTTAATAATTAAATTCTTCATATCTATGTGTTGGTATTTACTATTCTTTATTTCTTCTCTCCGCAGCTCGATGTTTCAGTGAACGGACAGAGCGAGTCGTCAACCATGAAACGAACCAAGAATTCTACACGTGCCACCACAGCACCACCACCAATTCCACCAAAAAATTTGCGTTTCTTTGGTGATACAGATCTAGACTCGAATCCACCAACCATAACCAAAGCCAATACTACACTCAAGTAAGACAATCAACTTCTGTAACTAAAGTTTTTTAACTAACTGTTTTTGAAAAATATCCCGCCCTAGAACACGACCCTCTGTACCATCTACACTCAATCGTTCGCAAAAATACTCACAGAGCGCTTATCATTTGGATCGCCTGAACACGAATCCGCAGAAGAGTGATTATCGCCGAAATCTGTCTGCTGCCACACAGACAAGCGGAGTCGCCAGCTCACGTCACAAGAGCTCCTCTATGCATAATCTGGAAAATGGAATCGGCGGCGATGAAGTTGATTTTCGCAAACGACGACACTACTCACGCTCGCGTGATTTAGATGACATCTCAGAGAGTGGCTCGGAAACAGAGGATCAACACAAACGACCAAATGGTGGCGTAGGAGGTGTGCGCACATTGTCACGTGAGCGTTTGGATCGTTCGCATCGGTATGATGATCACACCTATCGACGCAGCAACGATCGTCATAGCACGCCTTTGGCTATGTCCACATCAACGCCTAATGGTATTGATGGTGGTGGCAATGAGCGAGATGGCAGAAGAAGTCATCATCAAAATCACTTGATGGGGCCACCAAAGCCGGCGCGTAGTGCCGAGCGTCGCTTGACATCTGCTTACTCGAGGTGAGTTATAAAGCGTGCCGCTGGTGGTTATAAAAATATGTGCTCACTTACACTCTCTACCGATTTTCAGAGAACGTGATCGTTTTCCTGCCGAGAGTTCAGGTACTGAGGGCGAGTCCAGTTTACACAGTCAGCGCAGCGTGGTCTATTTACATGCCACAACAGTCGGTGCCATACCACAGCCATATCACTTGAGACGTCGTTCCATATCACGTGATGATATACGTTCGAACAAGAGCAAGCCTCAGCCATTGCAGCCAATGACACGCACTGTCTCGCGATCGGTGTCGATGTTGGCGCCATGGAAACCGAAACTCATTAGCGAGGGTTATGAAATCAATTACTCCCAAGAGCAAAATAAACGAGTAAGTTTTATTTAGTTTAAAGAAAATTCACAAAATAATTACATCAAAAAACCATTTGCATTGCAGATGGCCTCCATGCCTCGAAAGCCACACATGGGTAGTTCGAGCACGCTCACGCGTACCAGCAAGAAGTCGGAAACTCCAACAACGCGTACACTGCGCCGAAATGATCATCTCAAGGACGATCAGTCCTCGTTAAGACATTCCTCCACTACGAGCGCCTCAAAGTCTGCGCTTTCATCGAATATACGCAGCGTCGATGGACGACGAAAGATCAAATAGGCCACATTGCAACGGAGCAGATAGGGAGTGTACGATGAACTAGTTCGTTTGGTGAGAAGAGAACGGCGTGGGGACGAGCGTATATTAACCAAACTAGAATTATTTAACTTCAGGAAATATTTTAGCTTTGATTTGGGATGTTGCCAGATATTCGGATAAAACATTTAGCAGCCGTACATACATACACCAATCTGCACATTAAACTAATCGCAATCTAAGAGAGCATAAAGCTCTGTGTTGTATGTATGTATGTGGAATGTAGCAACGGGTGCTCTTCGTTTAACAAAGTGCGCATGTCAGAGAGTCGTTTAAATCGAGAGAATTTGCAACGGTTATGCCAGACATACAAACTTACAAAAGCGCGCAGTTCTAATATTTTTAGTTGTTTTAAGTGCCTTTTTCTAAAATAAATAAATAAAACAAAAACAAAACCTAATCATTATGCATAACAGCGAAAGCTCATAATAAAGCTTTTAAGCACAAATATTTGTATGTATGTATACACGCTTGCACTTAATACGGAAGTAATTTCGGATGTCAAAAATAGAGGAAACTAAATTGTAAAAGGAATATTGCGTCAGAAAAGACCGTTAAGAGCATATTTACAAAGTTTATCCCAGCATTACATTACAAACATACAGGTATACATTTTTTGAAGACATCTTCAAGCTAATTTAAATTAATGATTTGCTTAGAATTTAAGTGCCAGTTAAAATAAAAATAAACAGAAATGAAAAATAACTTTATACTAATAAATCGTATTCAATACGGATCTAATACATTTAATTTACACTCCATTTTTGTTATGGACTTATTGTAAACTTTATAATTTTTGCAAAATAAAGGAAAGAAGATAATAGAAGTGTAATCAAATTAAAATTTCAACCGTTATTTATTGAACAAATTACGATGACAGGTGAAGGTTCTTCTCGAAATGTCAACACCGCGACATCTTATTTTGAAAATATATTTATTTGCATAATATTGATTTGGAAGACAATAACTCAATTTCCCCCCAGGATGTCGAAAGTTCGTTATTTAAAAATATCTCCCTTAAAAAAACCTACGACTTTCATTCGAAAGCTAAGATATTCAGATGATCAGGGCCAAGAAAGTTTATTTATAATAACAACAATTTATTTACAATAATAAGAATTAGTGGGCGAAATTTTCCAGTGGTTAGCATTACATACTATCGTTCTGAAGGCCAGTGTTCAGTAGCGGTTTGGTCAGCATCGAAAACTAATTTTTCTAATTAATGCTCGGAAATTCCATGATAAGCTACGATGGCTTACCGGCGGTTTCAAGACCGGAGCGGACCCCTGTAAGACACAAAGAGGTGGTGGTCTAGCAACCGATGCTCAAAGCATATTGAATTTATGGAGGGAACATTTCTCCAGCAAATGGAACACCAATCGATGGAAAAGATGTTCCTTTACCTGACCATGAAAAAGTTCGAAAAGCAATTGCCCGCGTAAAGAACAACAAAGCGGCTGGAGCTGACGGCCTACCGGCAGAACTATTTAAACACGGCGGTGAAGAGCTGACAAGGTGCATGCATCAGCCACTTTTCAGAATGTGGTTGGACGAAAGCAAGCGCGACGATTGGAATTTAAGTGTGCTCTGCCTTATCCATAAAAAAGGTGACCCCACAGTCTGTGCCAATTACCGTGGAATAACCCTATAAGGTCCTGTCGAGCGTATTGTGTGAAAGCTCACCTTATCAGTTTGCCATTAGACTTAGCAAATGTGTAAATTTACCATATATTCGCCATGCTCCAAAATCTTGGGAAAAAAGATCGACATCCATCAATTCTTCGTCGTTTTGGATGCGACACTAAAAGCTTTATCAGAATCGGGAAGGACCTCTCCGAACCGTCCGATACCAAACGAGGTTTCAGACAGGGTGACTCCTTATCGTGTGATTTCTTTAATTTAATGCTGAAGAGAATAGTAAGAGAGACAGAGCTGAATAGAGAAGGTACAATCTTTTATAAGAGTGTATAGCTGCTGGCGTATGCTGATGATATTGACATTATTAGCCTCATACCCTCCTGGTGTATTGCTGCTTTCTCCAGACTGGATAAAAAAGCGAAGGATTTGGGTCTGGTAGTGAACAAGGATAAGTCGAAATATCTCCTGTCGTCAAACAAACAGTCATCGCATTTGCAACTCGACTACCACGTCACTAGTAAGTGATGATTTCGTCTACCTTGGAAACAGTATTAACACCAACAACAATATCAGACTGGAAATTCAGCGCAGAATCACTCTTGCCACGTAAAGTAAAGTCCTCTCCCGACAAACGTCCTGCTGTATGGTACTGAAACAAGAACGATAATAGCATCTGATAAGTCGGCGTTAGGAGAAGAGAATGGTTTTGGGTAAGATTTAGATCCTTTGCGCATTGGCAACGGCGAATATCGTCGCCGATGAAACGATGAGCTGTACGAGTTATACGGCGAGATTGATATCGTTCCGCGAATCAAGAAACAGCGGCTACACTGGCTAGGTCATGTGGTCTGGATGGAGAAAAAATAACCCAGCTTTGAAAGTTTTCGATGCAGTACCCGCTGGTGAGGGCCATCTGCAGTTTTTCATAAAATTCAAAGGAAAATAGCAAAAATTTGTGTAAAGAAGCTAAGCCACGGTATGTAAGTGACCAGTTTGCGGAATATTTCAGAATAAATAGAACAACATTTCAAGTAAGACAGGCATAAAATAAATTTACTTAGTAGCTTCACAAAGAGTTGTTAATGTGGTCGTTTCGACATTTGAGGTATCAGTACGATCATCAAAAGGAATAGCTCAGTAAAAGCGCTAACTGAACATGCTTACTGAGCGCTCAGTTCGCTGAACGCACCCAATTACTTCTGACAATATGGATGGTTTAGCCATCTTTCGAAAAATGTCGCGTTTGGAAAAACCCCTTGAGTCAAAATCCGGTTCATTCTACTTCTCAGAGCTTGGCCAGAATGGTAAAATTCGGCTTTGTTTACAGAGTAGATGTGACTTCACATCTCAACTGAACTAAGTTAATTTTTAATTGGTTTTCAGAGAGATGTAGAGTCTAGCATTATCAAAATGGAGCAATGTGCCGTTGTGTTTTACTAGTTCGGAGCATTTTTTCACGATTTCTGCATTCTATTTCGATTGTTGACGATGAACTAAAAGTGCAATTCCTTGGTAGCTGTTCATGCAATAGGCAAGACACTTAAAATTGAAGTGAGAGATCAAAGCGATAGTCGTCTGCATGAACACTTGCATATAGCCGCGGTTCAATAAATAAAGCGAAATGGCCACTCAGATTACCTGAATTGGGGCGACTTCACAAAACTGTGCAGTAACATGTCATGAAAGGCAAAGAGACCACGGGGATACTAACAGGGCATAGCTATCTATACGGGCAGTGCAAAGCTCGAATATACCCAGTTGAATACATTGAAGGTCTTGAACCTTTTTCTCTGGAGTCAGCAAGCTTTTCGCAAGTCGTGAGAGCTGAAGAAGTTCGCAAGCTACTATAGCCGACCTTTCGCACTGCAACTTTCGGTAGACAGAGCCATGTGACAATGCACTCGCCGCCCCCCACGCCACATTTGGTTTGAAGCATTGTCGGGAAGGATAACGCCGCAAGTCCATCGGCTGTTTCCCACGCAGCCCATGGACAGAGATTACCTCACCAGTATCTGACTAGCTTGATTACACTAGGAACAGGGTAAAGTGAGCCCGCTACTAAAACTAGACTAGACTTATCGTAATCTTTCGACATATGATTTAATGCATTGTTATTATAGGACATAACTGGATATTGAGTAATCCCCGAGGTTGTTGGTCACCATGATTTAATTGAGTAGACGGCAATCATCAGTAGAATTTCAGGTCACCACTACGAACATTGGAAATTCTTTTTTTGCTTCTTTCACCACCAGAGTGTGATTCTCTAATCTTATACTCCGATGACTGGTCGAAATATGTTCTAATAACTATACTGCTAACCTATGTTCAAAAGTAAACAGCTATTACTTATTATTACACGACATCTACAACTAACACCGGAATCCACAGCGACACCCATCCCTAGCTAGGTAAAAGAGTACCAGCTCGTGGTCCTTAAAGTCAAAAATCTAAGAATGCAAAGTTATAAATAGGAATATTCGATAGACTACACTCCGCATATGACCGCGATAGCAACCAAAGTGACCACAGCACAATACTTAAGTGACTAAGTGGGTGGATCTGTGGGCAAAGAAACATAACCTACGAGGATAATGACCGACCGGCAATTATTATTTCACTTGTGTTAAGGAAGCTTCATAGCGATCAGAGTGAGAATATGCTTACTTGTGTGATTTCTGAGGAAATATAATCAGAAAAAACAAGAGCAAATTCTTACATTAATTTTTTCAAAGTAACTCAACCCCATAAAAAATTATATTTCATCAAATGAATTGTTGAATTGCGCTATGATTAGAATAGATTTAAGTTTTCTGTATACAAATTTACATAGCAAACAATACTTTAACACTCCATTATTATTCTAAGTACAAAAAACACTTGCGTAATTTTGACCTTCATTTTTTCATCCAGTCAAAATATAGCTGATATATGACCTCTTAAAATTTTTAGTTTCAGTCTGTGGAAACTCACTGAGGCAGCCCAACAAACACGTATGTACGAGATATGTGTATGAACATTATGTGATACCCAAAGAGCGTTTTCGTTTTGACTGATTTGAATTTTAGTACCATTTTCAAAATCTATTCAAATCAAATTCTTAGAAATCTTGTCTGATATAACAGTGGCCAACGTATTTCACTCCCGATTGCTTTTTTCTTATTTCTGTCCTGGTTACTCGCGGGGTATTGTTCTTGGTGTCTCATTCTCTCCTTGTTGTCTGATAGACAACAAAGTGGCCAGCAAAATGCGAAAGGAGCAGAAGTGCAGTACAGAGCTTGAAGCGTGCGTAGCGCATTTGGTAAAACTATGAAGCCAACCAGTTCATCATAGGCATTTCTTACTATAATTTGTTTGCACAAGAACAACAAATTGATTATGTTTATTAATGAGCATTTTAAGTAAAACATAATGTGACGTCATTAGCTAGAAATTTTGATTTATATTGCTTATAAAATATATATATGTAAATGAATATGTGTGCTAAAAAGGCACATTTGTAGAAGAATATGTGTAAGCAACATGGCCTGCAGGAAAAAAATTTTTTTGTGGACTAGAATGCTACTAGTTCACATTGTTACAGGGAAATAAAAATAAAATTGCAAAGAATAATAAAAATCGCTTAGTAAACATTATCTGAATAAAATACTTAATTTTTTTTTAGTATTTTTTTTATTATTTCACTCAACTAGTTACCTATATGCATTTTCGTGTTGCTTCTTCGCTGTTTAAAGAATTTTATGAATTTTATGAAAATGTCAATATGAAAGTAAGCCAAACATACCAATCGGTTCTATTAATTTTTGTCCATCTGTCGGCTTTCCTTTCCCGTAGAGTGGTATTATTATTTACGTTTCGAGCAAATCGTAGTTGGTGCTTGGACCGAAACTTCAACCATATGATATGACTCCCCGGTTGTTTCTAACCATTTCAACTTTTACAAATATTTCTAGATCCAAATTGGACAAGTCAGAGAATCCATTCCCGAGTGCGTACATACAATTTCATTTTTATTTACATACTAAATACGTACATAAATGAAGTATTTAGTATTTTTGTATTTTCGTATACTCGCATCAGTTCAGCTTTTCCCTGCGGGGTTTTCTATGCGTACATATGTACGAGTACGCTCGAGAGCCTCAAGAGGCGCGAGTTAAATGTCTGCATTGTCTATAAATATACA